ATGTCAGAAGTATACATATGCAAAAATTCTGAGTGGTAGATTGGCAGCCTCTGCTTGTTTGGAACGTTGCAAGGAGAATTTATTGTTCTGGATTAGTGGACACTGGAACATTTTTTTTTCCTCTCAAGTAAAAGAAAGGTTAACAATTATAAAAATAAGAAAAAAATTAATTAAATAAATAAAATTATTATTTGGAACTTACCCATAAAACAACAAAAACAAAGCAAAAATCAAATTCAGTAAAACCACTTTCTAGCAAAAGGTATACTGTACTCTTCAGTTAAAATCAGAACCAGACAAGAAGCAACCAGAAGAGAGCTTTGAACAACAGAAATCGACATGAGAGAGAAACTCATAAATAAACACAGCTTGAACAATAGATAGAGAGAAAGAAAGAACAGGAAAGATAAAGCAAAAGCACCAGATACATGAGAAAAACTACTAATGTGGAATCTACAAATCCCACTCCATCTTATTTACTACCTAATAATCAAATGGCCTGGTACTAAGAAATTTAAGTCTCCTTTCATATATTTTCAAATGAATTTAATATTCACTTAAACTTATAGTTAAAACAGCTGTACTTTGATAATTTAAGAGAAAAAAGGTTTAAAAACAACTTTGTAAACTTAGAAACATTATGGTTATATAAACCTCTAAACTTGCATACTACCTTTTTCAGGGAATTAAAATATTACAAAAGCTCTTGACATCAGTTCAGAGAACTTGCATGCATTTACAAGTTATTTCTGGGAATAATTTATCTGCTTCTCAGTGATTAACTGGAGTTGAAAGACTTTAGAACTGTCATCCAAACAAAGCTATACTGATGTTTACCTCCTGCCACTACAAACACAAATTCATGAGCTTCCTAACTATACCCAAAGAGTTAAAAATATTATTATTTTTAAAAAGATTCTATTTATTTTGAGAGAGAGGGGAAGAGAAGGAGAAAGAGGGAAAGATACATCAATGTGTGCTTGCCTCTTGTGCCCCCCTCCAACTCGGGACCTGGCCCACAACCCAGGGATATGCCCTGACTGGGAATTGACCTGGCAACCCTTTGGTTCGTAGGCCTGCGCTCAATCCCCTGAGCTATACCAGGCAGCGCTAAAAATATTCTTAATATACAGTATCTGCCTTCAATGAAATATCCAAATATACTCTAGTTTTGCACTGAACACTGAAGTTACATAAGTACTGTTCAGCTGAAACGAGTAATTTACATAGTTTTTAAAAGAATGTATGTAGTTAAGTAGAATTTAAGGCCTAGAATTCAGGTCCTTTCAAAAAAGAACAAATTTGTCTTATGTTCATAACATTCTTGACAATATTCTCTTTAGCTTTTTTCTTGGTTCACTGAAAGAAAAAGGTTCAGTGTTTCTTCCTTATATATTATGCTTTTCCAACAAATGCTTTCAAAAGTTTACTTTAGGATTATTTCATTTTTAAAGATGAGACAAGGGGAAGAGGAAGTGCAAGAGGTACTGTCTACTCCATTTGATACCCTATGTCACTTGTCAAATACCTCTTATAAAAAACAAAAATAAAAAGAAATCCAACATCCATTCTTCAGCTGCTTTTATTATTCAGATCCTCTATTAAGAACAAAGCTATCAGTGAAAATAACAGAAATGATTCCATCACTTTTAATAGATAATAACACTAACAAGTTGAGAATCCATTTATAAGATTTGGAAATGAAATATATTAGGAAATTATGCAAGCTTACAAGTTAAATATCTTTATCTCAATTCTCAATCTCTAACCTTTTGTTTATAAATTTCAGTGATCCTAAAATAAAGTATAAAATATAAGATTTTTTGAAGTGTTATCATAACTGGCTGCAGGAAAAAAGAAATTAAAATATTTATCTGAATGATGAGTATCAGTATAATATTAAAATATCAATGGCTCAATATTTTATATTTATAGAATACATTAATAAATTTATTTGTTAAAATATAATTATTTTATATCAAACACGAGCATTTAAAAATTTAACCATTCACTTTTGAAAGGATTTTTAATGATAGAATTTTTTACTATTTCTAAAATTTCAAAAAACAATTTTAATCTCTGTAATAGTTAAGAAAAATACAATAGAATGTTGATTAATACAAAATAATTTATTACATAATTTCATTACCTTTTATAGAGGTACAAATTTCAAGTGGAAAATTCAATTATAAAAAGAGGAACTGATATTAAAACAGTATTCTCAAATGCACTTGATAAAAATCTGCATTTTTATAAGCATTTGTATATAAAATTTTTGTTCTTTTAAAGGCAGTTTTTAAAAAAAATTCATGATTATTTTTAATAAATTATTTTATTGGTTTGAGGCAGAGAAAACATTCATTTGTTGTTCAGTGTTTGCATTATTTATGCATTCACTGGTTGATTCTTGTGTGTGCCCTGACTAGGGATCAAACCTGCAACCCTGGCATATTAGGGACAATGCTTTAACCAATTGAGCTACCCAGCCAGAGGTAAAGGCACAATTTACATTCCTTATTTTTTGGACTTAGGTTTAATGGTGGATTCACTTATTCATATTATAAGTCTGATTTTAAAACACACAAAATATTAAATTTGTACTGGATCAACTTTTATGGTATTTTAGTAACACTAAAGCTTAATTATTAGCTGCAGAGAGCCAAATAGTTATAACCACAGCCAAAATTCAACATTCATGTTAGTGAATAGTGAACACAAGCTTCTACTGCTCCTTCAAATTGTTTTTATTTTCTTAATAGCAATGCTGGATGCTTTATCTTCCATCTGCCCATAGATTAAAAAAAAAAAAAAAAAACAGAATAAAGAGCAAAAACTAGGGCACTTAGATAACTTAAGAGACAGAAAAAAGTATCATCAAGATAAATATCTCAAAATATCTATTCAGAGTTCATATATTATGAAAACATTTTCCCACTGCACACATCACTGACTGGGAGAGTTGGACAATAGCTGTGCAGTGACTAAACACAACTAGAGTTAGGATTAAGAACAGAAAAACATAGGTTTAAATCCCAAGTACCCATATAAAGAGCAGTGTAACCTAGCTGAACCTGGGCAAAGCACTTACCTCTGTAAAGTTTCTCTATTTGCAAAACCAGTAATAAAATCTACTCTGATTATATTATAAAGTTTTCATGAGACACAAATGAGGTAATATGTAGAAGTATTTTGGAAGCCTTTAAAAATCACCCCCCAAATTAAACAGTATCTTCATGTTAAGGAGATAAAGAGTAGCCCATTTTTGTTTTGTTAAATGTAGTGTATATTTTTAATCCTTTCTAGTTTATTATGTTTTCCTCGCAGTTTGAAGAGTCTATGGATACTCTCCACTTCTACTTATTACACATATTTGTTTCTTCTGCTATTTAAAGGGTTTCCATCTCACTCCAAAAGAATAGGAGAAATATCCTTAGCTAAACCACTTATTAAACAATAAATAATTTTTAAGCCAATAATGTAACTAACTCCTTAGCTAATTTCAAAGCACATACAATATAATATGGGCAACTTCTACTACTGATTATATCACTAATTTGTAATGGTCTAAGAGTAAATCACTTCTCTCTCCAGGTGCTGCAATTTTTTAATTTATTGATAAGGTGCAGTATTAGTGTGATCAATTCATTTGACGAGAAAAAATTCACCTTTATAACTTAAAGGTAAAAACAATATTCAAGCATGAGAAAATTTTCCTTCTAAACACTCTACTAATATACCAATGCCATATGAAAATATAAAATTACTAAATAAAGTCACTAATATATGTACAGACCACAAATTTTCTTTTGAAACTATAAAGAGAAATTGAGAAATGACTAATTTCTTTATTCAATAAGATGTCCCAAAAAGAAGCAAACCAGAAACATAAGGTGAAAAAATTCTTTACTGGCATATTTCAGGATTTGCTTTTTTAAAAAATCTTCTTTATACATATAATCACTAAGGAAATCCATCCATAATTGACAATTTTACCCCAAATAATTAACACTATATTTTTAGAAAAATAAGAATTTGACAAATCTTTTGTCTTACCTTATTGTGCACTATGGCATATCAATAGACAGCTTTATTAATAAAAATTCCTTTTATTTTCTGCTTACTCCCCCTTCAAACTATTTTTATATGGCATCACATCTATGAAATTTTTTCACAACACTGTTTTATGAAACAATTGTTTCCAAAATAATTCTGACCACACACTATTAATTTATTGTTTTATAATTTATTACCAAAGATTTCTATCCTTGATTTTTAAAACAATCTAAAAATATCAAAACAGTATAAACACATTTTTCTTTTTGTTTTCTTTGCTGAAAGGTATCACTGATATATAGGAAGTAAAGTAAAAACATGCAACTAAACAGTCATATTTAAGGAGTACTGCAAACAGTGGTTAGAGAGGAATGGAAACACTATAAAATAAGGTATTTGTGATATTAAACCACTGCAATTTAAATACTCAACAAAATATACTAAAAATCTACATAAGCAGCAAAATATGGAGGACAAAGTGCTTAATCCCAAATAAATATCTAATATACCATAACTTCATAAAAGGCAAGAATGCCTGATTCTTTGGCTTTAATTTTAAAATGGGTGCATTTTAATTAAATTATGTTTTACTACAGGACTATTGGTGAAGTACAACACTATAAATATTTATTTATGATTTCTTCACATAGTTTTCCCAACTTGTCTTATCTATAATATATCTTCATACCTGTGAGTTTCTCATCAAAGCTTCACTGTTAAAACTATTTTAAAAATTAAATTAGTTACAACAAATTCATGTATTATAATATGCACAATTTTCTTTTAAATTTAGCATATAAATTTAAGTGTAGAATAAGGAACTTTTAGAAACTTAAGTCAAAATAATGTCAAAACATGGTCATAAATGGATTTCCTTTGTGACGTGAAGAGTACCTGAGTTAAGAAGTCCCCAAATCTTTAATAGCTATGAAGAGACTGATAATTACCATATTGAAATAGGATCGAATTTTGACTCCTCTTGCCAGATCCCATACTATGACGTTTCCATCATGACCGGCAGAAAAGAGAACTCTTGGGTCAAATGGGTGTGGCTCAAGAACAAATACTTCATCTTCATGACCCTGAAATATTTTTGAAGTAGCAATAAATTATAAATATGAGAAAAGAAAATTTAACTAAACACCAATATGGAAACATTTTGAGAATTTAAGTTTTAAGACCTATTAAAGTGGCAAAAATCATCATATATCAATGTATAATTATGAAGCTGAGCTGATATCACCATCCAGGGCTTTGCTACCATTTAGTAAAACCTGAGAATACTACTGACGTAGCCGTAACATATTAAAAAAGGGCAACAATCTATATTTCTAAGCCAAACCCATTTAAGTACATTTTAAAATTATTTCCAATCTCTGGGAAAAATGTTTTACCCATCTCGTAAGTTAGAGATTTTAGCTAACACAATGACTTTATTCTACAAACAGTTTCAATACCAAATAAAATTAATCTTTTTTCTCACCATCAAGACATGAATTAGTTGGCCCGTGTAAGAATTCCAGACTTTCAGAGTCATGTTATTAACTGCAGTTATAACTGTGCTGTCATGTCGATCCCATGCCACCATAGTTACTTTCATTTTTGTGATTTTATCTTCTATTCCTTGAAGGTTTTGGCTGAAAGTCATGGAGGCAGTATTTGTTTACACTGACATTATTTATTAAAATACAAGTGTGACAAAAATTGAAATATCTTCTCATACAATTTATATTCATTAACATACTTATTGCTTAACAGTTAAGAATAGTTTGAATAAACATAGGATGATAGCAGAAATCACTGCACTGAGTCAGCAAACCCAGAATTTCAACACTCTTGAGCCCTTAAAAATGACTTTGAATAAATAACACTGCTTTAACTCTATCTGGACCCAGGAACTCTCATGCTGCTCTTCATCTTTTACTTCAGGGGTGTCAAACTCTCTTTCACAGGGGGCCACATCAGCCTCACAGTTGCCTTCAAAGGGTTGAATGTAATTTTAGGACTATGAATGTAACTACTCCTTAACTAGGGGCAAGGAGCTTGGCCCTGCCACTAGGTAGAAACAATGTGCCTGGCTGAATAAAACAAGGTGGAGGGCTGGATTTGGCGCGTGGGCCTTGTGTTTGCCACCTGTGTTTTACTCTTACTATTGTCTCCACTAACTGCTTTGTTCTCCCATCTGAGACTACTATACACAATACCAACAGAAAAAATTTATAGAACATTATAACAGTTACAAGATATAATATAATGTCTTTTGGCTGAAGAAAACCATTGGATATACCACATCGTCTCTCGGTGACAGATGAAACATTACAAGATGTTCTGTTTTTTTAAAAAAATAGTGAAACTGACAACTATTCTTACACTACTCTTTCTACCTTAACAAAACGGAACTGAAAAGAGAAAAACATTAATGCAGCAGGTCTTCTCATATATTGCAAAAATCATTTCAAAAAATCAAAGCCGTGAATTCTCCAGAATCACCTCTCGTCATATAGCAATCATTTTAACATGGACTATGATATATGTATGTCTACAGACTTGAGAGTCATACCAACCTGTATATAACATACATTAAATGATCTATCTGTATTTTTGTATTTCAAATTTGATCTCTTACCCTGCTGGACGAGTAGCCATATCCAATAAAATGCTCTTCCATTCTCTTCGTTTAAATTGCCAAATACGTGCTGTCCCATCGCGACTCCCACTTACAAATCTGCATTAAAAGCAGCCCACCCCCAAAAGAAAAAGATCATACATTTGAATGAAATGTACTGTCCAAGAGTTGTTTTTTTAAAATACTCAAGAAGACATAACTCATCTTTGCTTAAACAGCATTCTAATCCAATTAAAATTACTCTATCAGATATTCACTGCAAAATTAAGAACTTCTGAAACATTGTAGGTTTTTAAAATTTTATGCACACATATTCTAATATGCATGGCTAGGTCTCAAAGTAACATTTAAAAGGGTTTCAGGGCCACTATTTACTACCATAGAAATAGAATTGACATATTCCAATGGAAAAATACTGACTTTCCTCTCCATATTAATGACCTTACTTGTTCTATTTAAAGTTGTTAGAAATACATTTCTCTCATTTTAAAACAAGAATATGAGAAAACCAGTTCTGCCTCAAATATTACACTGTAATACATTTCTAATGTCTACTAAAAGTTTCCCTTTACTTTAATATGTACAGGAAATATGTAGGGTGAACAAAAGTCCTTATTATTAAAAATGGCCAAATAAACTAACACTATTACAAATAAAACATAAAGACATGTTTGCATGCAAAGACTATATTCACATTTCAGTATAACTGGTTAAGATCCTTCTTTTAGGTGGTTAATTTGTATACAATTCTAATAAAAATCTGACTATAAAAATTGTCTTTATTTTATAAGTCTTAAAATTGGAACTAAATTTAAGAAAAATAATTATTTTACCTGTTACTAGTGTTGGAAAACTGGATACTGTCAACTTTGTCCTATACATAAACAGATAAACAAAAAAAAGAAGATCCTGAAAATAAACTGTTAGACTCATTTAAATTGTTCTCATCTAATGCATTTTACCAATACTTACAGTATGAAACTCCAATTCTGATATTTTCTCTGGCTGACCTGAGCCAAAAAAATAAACCCTAATAATATGATCTGTACTTCCTGTGGCCAGAAACATTCCACCTGAAAGAACAGTAAACATTTATCAGTAAAACACAAGTTCAAAATCTCTAAAAAATGGGTAATTCAGTGCAAACAACATTAGCAGAATATATACTGGATGATTAATACTTTTACTCTAAAACTATTCCTATTTATCATACATATATGATATATCTAACCTGAATTTAAGGAAGAAGTTTGCTAAGAGAGCTTTGACTAGGATGAATTTTTCAATACATACATAAGTAAAGCTTTGCATCACAAATAACTTCACTGTGATTATATAATGTTATGTTAAAATTAACAGTTATCCTCACTAGAAAACATGCCTTTTAACTGCTGAAATCCCTCTCTTGTCCCATCTCTCACCTATTAAAATTCTACCAAACTTTTAGGGCCCAATTCCTTCAGTAAGTTGTCTTCACAAGTTTTGCAATCAATGAGCCTGCTCTCCTTTAAAGTCTCACTAAGACTTTGTCTTGTAACACATACATTCTATCTTCCATTACAGTAATTTGTATATTCAATTTACTCTGTCCTTGGAATCAATACTCTCCTACACTGTACTTTGAACACATGTGTAGTGCCTACATTTCTGTTATTACTAGAAGGAAAATTTGTCACCATGGAAGTTAACAGTAGAAATCTAAAAGTTAGAAATTCAGAATGGTTGGATATTAGTATGGCAAAAATAGATTCATGTCGTCAGTTCGCAATCACACTTATCTCAGGCACTACTGCTATCCACAATTATGAAATGAAAAGCTAAAGTAAAACTGTAAATAAATGTGAAAATAACAGGTACTAGGAACATTAACTATTAAATCTATTCATGTTTCATTTCATTTTCTCATCAATTCAATTCTGCAGCTCATAATTGTTTTAAAAGACTAATACCCATCAAAATGCTGCTACATAAACTCAAAACTTAATTTGAATGTCATCATTATTATACAGCTAATTTTTAAAGAGGAAATAAGAAAAACTGAACAAAGTAATTAATAAAATTGTACAAATATCAATCAAATTTATGTTATTTAGCCATGGGATAACTCCAAAATCCATGGAAATATAAAGCAGATTTAAAATATCTTTCTTCCAGCAAGATAACTACTCAAAGATTCATTTCCTAACAGAGTAAATTTTGAAACTATTCTCTCTTACCAGAGCATTATAATCTTCTTATAGAAAAATACTAGTCATGTGAGTATATCAACTAAACTCTAGCATAGTTCAAATATTATTAAATTAACTTTTATCTTCCAGCATACGTAAAAAAATATGATTTATATTACAAGAGTAAATTTTTCCAAAATTTTGTGTTCTACTATAAGCTAGCTAGTATGCTTGCTTTCTTTTTTTAAAAAAACAAAAACAAAACCCAGAAAAACCAAACATAATAGACACCTAGTTCTCACAGCTCTGGAGGCTAAGAAGTCTGAGATCAGGGTGTCAACAAGTGGGTGGGAAGGACAAAAACATTCAGTCCATGACAGTATTGTAAGTGAAGTCAGGGACCTTGGAGGTATCTTTATCATAGAACATCCCATTTTCATTACCTGTGCCTTAACAAATCTATTTAATCTATGAAAATTTTCGCATTTAATCAACAGCTCTACCACCTCTAAAACACAGGTTTTGTGTCTTTACATAAAATGTATGTATACTGTGTACACCAAAAGCTTTTTATTCATGGGTCACATTGTCTTTTACCATTTTGCACACAAATTACTCGGTGCAGAGAACTTTCTAGAGCAGAGCTTACCTCAAGCATACAACTGCCTTCGAAAATATAAAGTGGAGGAAAAACTAGGTTTGTAGTTTTGAGTATGTGAAACATGGAATTTATTATTGTATTACTATTTGTTAATTATTGTACTATTTTCCATACAAAGAAGTATAAATCTTTTTTTGCCCCATCCTGTATAATATCCAGGAAAAGAGAAAGATTCTAATGTCCAACTTTAAGCAGAAAATTAGGGAGAAAAAAAAATCTTACCAGCACTAAAAGAAGAACAGATCATTTGAACTCCAGGCCGAGGGCGCTCTGTAAATTTTGCAGGTCTTGGACTACAAAACAAAAATAAACAGTTAAAAATATCCCAAAGTGAATAGCAATGCCAGAAATCACTGTTTTAAAAAATAATCACAGAAGGACAGAATTAAATAAGAAGCAACAGATGGCTCCCTTCCTAAAAACAAGTTTGAAATCATTATGTGTCATGATCAGATCTGTGGAAACTATGTACACACTTTGTAGGAGCTCCTGGTTATACAACAATCTGCACATAAAACAATCCCAAAGCCACTTGTCACACCTAATCAAATTTAACAGTTTCTCAGTTTTTGATTGAATACCAATGCAAAAATACAAACAAGTCATTTGTAAACATGAACACACTAGTAAAATGGGTGCTGACTCTGTGGCATATGTATACCGGCAATAACTAAAGTTTTTCAATATCAAATGTTATCAATTAGATAACTCCCTTGTTTATCATCTAATGACTTGTAAGACTCCCAAAACGAAGAATCTTACATTTATCCTCATAAAAATCTTAAGATTATTTGACTCATATCAATTACAATGTTCATTCAAAATAGTGATCAATGGAAAATAGGTCACACTCAACTATATTTACGTTAATTATATAACTGTGTTAGATAGCTCATTACTATTAGTATTAAATGTTTAGTGTTAATGTTATAATCAACCATATTAAGAAAAAAAATTACAGATTTTACACACCAGCTCCAATATGGTACAATGTATTTGTAATGCTCTAATACAGTGATTACATGTAAAGTCTTATTTAATACATATTTTGAAGTAGTTTTTCTCAAATTAGTAGAAAATTTCAAAAATAGAGCCTCTGACCTCAACCAGAGTGCACTGTACAACTTTTAGAATTCACAGCATTCTAATACAGGATGGTTTTAACTTTGTGATATTTTTATAGGGAAAAAAATTCTGACCTATCAATTTTCTGTTCTGAACAATAATAGTTTTCTTACTGATATTGAACATAACAAAACGTAGCTGTTAAATTTTTAAAGTAGATTTGTAAGTAAATTTTTTGAATTGACATTTGAAGTATTCTTCTTAATACCCACAGGCTCTCATAAAGCATGACACAATTCAGAGAAACTGAAAATTATTAAAGCACTCTTAAAATCGAAATTTATCAGAGTAAAATTAAGGGAATTATAATTTAAGTAAATTAATCTGAAATTATAAAGAAAAATGAGCTACAGTTTTAATAAGTTATTGATCACAGCCCTATATTTTTGTTAATTTTTTGGCACAATCACTCATGTAAACGGCAAACCATCATTTATTTGTAATTCATAACCAGAATATGCAAATAATCATAAAGATTGCAATTTAAATAGGCTTTAATTTTTATTAGGGAAAAAACAGATAAGTTGGTACAAATCATTTATTTTGAAGTACATTTTTGAGGAACTATTTTAAAGCAGGCCTTGGACTCACACTGAGTTCAATTCCCAGCTTTGCTACTTACTCAGGTGTATGAGCTTAAGGCCAGTTAACATTTCTGTACCTTGGGCTCTTCATATGTAAAATGGGAGTAAAAACAATGTATCTCAGAGTTGCAGAATAAATTAAATGAGTATAATCCACATAAAATGCTTATTACTGTTCCCGGCACACACAATAAATATTAGTATTAGTAGTAGTTTAATTAGGTTCAACCAGTTCTACATACTCCAACAATGAGTAAGTAACTGCTATTTAGTTTGGCTCAGTGGTTAAAAGTGGATTCCGACAGTATACTTCCAGTATCTGCTCTCAGCTTTCTTCCCCTTCATCCTGAAGATAATAATATACCTTCTTCATAGAGTTGTCATAAAGATTAATGAGATAACAAATGTAAGGTGCTTGGTACTAGCTTGGCAGGCTAAGTGCTTAATAAAAATTAGATATCATTATGATTATCTGCATATTTTATAATTCCAATTGTCTCCTTACATATTCTACATATGCTTGGACAACTTCTTCCTACTCTTAGATCTCTTGAGCCAGCTTCCGAGTCACCCAACCACTCAGATTACTAACCTAAGAAGCAGCATCTTCACTAGAGGGAGTTGTTACCATACACATAAACCGTATTTAATAAAGTGAATTTATCAAGAGATTTGGTTCTCCAGAACAAGTTCCATTTAGTGAACAAACTGATTCTTTCAATTAGCGCAGAGAGAGAGGTGTTGAAGTCTCTCATAAAAAAAAACAGTATGATACTGTAACACAATTTGCCTTTCATTAGTAATTAAAGCGTCTCTGACATAAATAAGGTAATTTAAGTCCTGTCAAAAATGTTGGCAGTCATCAACTATGTGTAATACAGAAAAAAAAATAGGTGTCCCTATTTAAGGAACATCTATTTCATTTTAATATTTCCCTAGCTTAAAAGTTTTCAAGAAACAATTAGCAGAACAAATACAATACTACTTATAAAAACAACTAGAAAAATATGTAGGTCCAAAAACAGGAAAATCACTAAGCAAAGCATAGAACAACTCCTCCATGGAATATAATGCAACTGTTGAAATTATTAAAAATGGCTATGGTAAACTGTTAAGAAAAAATGTATATATTTCCCTATTTATGTGTAATTTTTAAAATATTATGTGAAAAAATTAAGGTAGTGAGTTTATGGTTAAATCTACATAAATGTTCTGAAAAAAAAATCATTTATATGGAATTACTCACTTCCCAAGTATAGAGATATATATTACCATACTTAGCAATGTAATCTTCAAGAGGCACAAGGTGTTTAATTTTGTAAAGCGATTTTTATTCCTATGCTAATTTTAAGATCCCTAATCACTTTTCTTCTCTGTAAAAACAAAACAGAAAAAAAAAAAAGACAAAGGCATCCTAATCAGGTCCATAAGGAAGTAAAAAATACACAAAGGAAAACAATTAACTATTGCTCCTGTCCATATATAAATACAGTATTTCAACTTTTATCTAAATGTCTACAGAAAGCCTTTAATATTCTAAATATTAGGAATACAACTGAAGTGAAGTCAATTTGCTTTCTCCAAAGAACATGTCTTTGATCACAATCCTTTTTTTTGTTACTCAAGCTGCAATGGCCCCCTCATGCCCTTCCATAAAAGGCACACTCCAGGAATGTTCATACACATGAAGTTTATTTAAACACTACTGTTTTAAAGAACACTGACTTACACCAATTATTTATTAAAGAATTCAATTTGTGTTGATAATTTATAAGCAGAAGAGATAATCACTGAGATAAATTTCCTAATCTGAATGACTTTCTATTCTGAGAGCACAAAGATGGCCATTTCAATACCACAGAAACACTAGATGCACTACCTCTCCATTCATAGACTGTCTATGGAAAAATCAGAACACTTCCTGTCCCTAGTGGCATAATATAGACACCACAGGACCAAGGGCCAAGAAGTGTTCTAGTCTTGGCCTTGCCAATTTTTAAAAACTGTTTTAACTATGGGAAAGTCATTAAACCTTTATTTGCCTCAGTGTCCTTCATCAAAAGATAATATTGTCTAGCCCACTTGTTTTGATAAACCAAGATAATTTAAGTGAAAGCACAAATGCAAAAACCTCCAAAGGGGAGGCTACATCCACCTACCTTCATGCAGTTTAGTGAAAATTTAATGATTCTGTTTTGCTAAGTTTCCTTGGATCTACAATGAAATCTAAAAGTTCATAGATGTGGTGACAGAAATAATTGCAACTGTTCTAAAGAACAGCCTTAGGAACTGTAAGATTATGTTCTCAGAAGGATCTACTCAGATAAAACTATGCAGCATACAGAAACGAGTGGTAATAAGACAGGTATATTCTGAAGGAAATAGCTAGGGCTAGGATAAAGATAAGAGAAAAAAGAAACAAACATGTTAACATGAGATAACTTTCTTTGAAGCATGAAAAAGAAAAGCATAAAAATGAAGAGCCAAAATGATTTTCTGTTATTTACTCAAGGAGAAAACATAAATTTATTTCTATTGTTGACTATTTTATAACTTTTGTAGCTTCAACCATTTAAACAAATTTATGCTTTTAATGTTACATCTGTCAAATAAAAGAGCAACTGACTTTATTTTAAGGGTTCCAGCATCCCACAGCCAAAAACAAATAGTGCCATCTGCCCCAGTAGAAGATAGATATCTCTTTGAGCCACTGCACAATGGTGAGAACTGAAAAACAATCAAAGAAAAAAAATATCCTTAAAAGAAGAGTGACACAGTCCAAATAATATACTCATTTTTATCATACAAATAGCAGTAAGAGAATTACAAAATGCTCAACACTGATAAAAGTCATGACTACCAAGTTATTTAAAGCCATGTATTTATAAAGAAAGCAGAAATATTCCTTTCAGTGGGCTTTACGCAATGAATTATAAAAGTGATTTCTTAAAAAATGTACTTTAAGTTGTAACCAAAAAAGATTTTAAAAACTACCTGTAGTGATGTTATAGACGCACTGTGACCCTGAAGAACAGCCAAAGGTGCACATGTTCGAAGACACCAGACTCGGATCATTTTATCACAACTTCCAGCTGCTATCATGGTATTCTCATAGTTTACAGCCATGTCTGATATTTCAGCAGCATGTCCTCTTAAAGTAGCTAATAATCTTCCATCATCTGTTGCCCAGATTTTCACAAGACAGTCATCAGATCCCTTAAAATAAGAATGAATATTAATAGAATTAACTCTATATGAATTTTAATCTGAATTCTTACCAGAGATAAATCATATCTTTATGTACACAAGTTTCCCATCACTGATCTTCAGTTAAGCATACATATAATGTCATCTAAAGCCAGTTTTAAAAATTTTATCTGTATGGAGTTAATAAAAATATATAAATTACTTGTTTATTCTGCAACAGCAAAATAAGCACAGAAGAGACACTGTAAAACATACAGTGTATTCTATGAATACCTGTATTTGCAGTACAAATAAACATTCCAATATGACATAGCCAAAGTAGAGATTAGGACTTCTAGACTTAATTTTTATGTTTTTTAATTCTCTAGTTTTCCCTATTCATCTTATAGCTAATACTTTACTCTCAAATCTCCCTATATCCCCCTATTTTTTATTATTAAAAAGTTTTAAATATATAAAAAAGTGAAGAATATTATCACTAACCCCAGATACCCACGTTTTTCCAGATTCAAAATTTACCAACAAGTTTCAAAGATTACATATATTAAAATTCTTTACAACCTCCCAATCTAATTCTTTTAAGAAAGCATTGTTGTATCTGACATTACTCAGAGGACCTACAAAAGTGAATGATACAGACAAGTTAGCAGCTTCATACTGACAAGATATGGCATGTCGTTTGATCACACACTATTAACAGAACAACCCTAAACCAGACTCTGCCAATGCTACCTACGACACATTCAATTAACTATAAAATCAACTCTTCTAATTGAGCTTTGAAGCAAAATAATGGGTCACCAACCACTAAAGACTAGTAATGAACTTAACTTTGGTAAATTACCCACATTAAAATCTGGTATTACCATCATGTTCATTTAATGTCAGGCTCCTCATTATAAAACAAGGAGGTTAAATTGGAAGATCTCTAAGATTCCCTCACCTTTAAAATTTGGTGATTTGTGCATTCATTTATCCATCTGCCTTTGGTACATGTGTACCAAAAATATTGGAGATACAAGGACAAGACACAAAGATACAGTATTCCTGTCCTTATGAAGCAAAGCAGAAGATTGTAAATACAATAACACGTCCTAAGAGCTATACAGATGAGATCCCAACAAGGGAGGAGACTGTTGTTCCTAAAAGGTGGAGAGGTTAAACTCTGAAAAGGAAACCAGAAGCAGTGATCCTTAGACAGTCTTATGTATGAAGAGGAAACGTAGCATAGTAGAGCTTAGAGCACAGATTTGAAAATCAATGTCTGGGTTCATGACCTACTATCACTACTTTTTAGATGCTTGACCTTCAGCAAGTTACACAGGCTTCCTATGCATTAGTTTTCTTATTTGTACCTACCTCATGGGGTTTTTGCAAAAACTGAGTAAATGAAGGTGGAATGCCTAGTTCATGGTAAAAACCTATATATATGGACTATCTACCTACACTACTTTTGTTGGTGGTAGTATATTTATTCTCAGAATAAAGTCAAGGAAAAACTATTAAGGACCTTTCATGGTATATTAAGAAATTGTAATGGTGGGGACTAAATTGGTAATGGAAAAAATACAATAAAGATAAAAAAATAAAAACAACTAAAAACTTATAGAAAAAAAAATATGGTATAAAATTTGGACCACTTTTAAATTACCAAGCAGGAGAGAGTATCAGGATGAGATACATGTTTTTCAAAGATCATCCTGGCATCAGTGTGAATTAGGCTACGAAGTAGAAAACCAGTTGGAAATTATTAAAATAGTGCAGGCAGGAGACAATGAGTGAGAAAACTGAGATTATTATAGAGAAGATCAGAAGAAACTAATGGAACAGCTGTTTGGAAAATTAAAGAAATGAGGATTATGTCACTACTATTTAAGGGATGTGAAAAAGGAGATATATGAAACTATGACTTACAGGAAGCTGGTTTACCTGGCACATGGGACTATCTCAGGTGTTTGTTGAATTTTGAAAAATGGCTTTAAAACATTCACTCAACTCTCAATTTGTCTAAATTCCATAATTGTCAATTTATTCACCTTCAATTAATTAAGGCAATATTTGGTTCCAGCTTATATTCACAACAAAAAATTATAATTATGCCAATACAGATAGAATGTATAAAAAAGTAAAGTCATATCATCACATTATGCATCACAGTGCTACTATAATTCATTTGTTCTTATGCATCTGAGTAAGACGTTGTGTTGTATATTCTATTGCAGAAGGTGCTTCACATATTTTTCATGTTAACGGGAAAAAAAATCCACAGCCTTTTGACCAAAACTTTACTGAAAGAGTGGCAACCTGTGATCTAAAAATCAGCCTCCAGTGACTTTTCACCAATTAAAACCTAACAAAAAGACCCACTATATTCCTACTGAGTTCATTACTTAGTAATCTCATCAATTTAATGTTATTTTATAATTTTATTCTATTTAGGCAAATAATACTATAAAAAAACAAAACACCTAACACCAAAAAACACTACACACATTTTCATCTAGTGTGTATTATCCTAATTAACCTCTCTTTTCTTCTATTAAATTGCAGGAGAGAAATCTTGTCCTTTCAAGGAAATCTCTCATCACTATCTTCTTCCATAATCCTGTAGTGTGCTATAGGATCCACCCTCACCCATGCTCCCCAGAATTGGTAGAATTTCAAACAGAAATCTAAGTCATCCTTAAGCAATTTCTAGACCATGCATCATTAATTGTGATCATTAATTTATTTTTATGGGAATGTGAAACTAAAGATGATTTAACATTCTGCTAAGTTATTTAAAAACGACTACTAGAAATATAAATACACTAAATGATTGAAAAGGACTGCAGAAGAGAAGAAAAATTAAATTTACTGGGAAAATATTTTTAAAAGCACTATAAATGAGTTTAAATCAAAGGTAAAAGGACAAAATTCTTTTTGAAAAGACCAAACTATAGAGCAGAATTTTGGGAAATAGATGAATTTTCTTTCCACAAGTCTACCTCAAATGTTAGTAAGGTTAATAATAAACCAAAGAGTGGGACATTATAGTGTTTTAATTAAAATGCTTAAAAAATAAAAAGAGTTGTGGACATTAAAATAAAAGCAATGTTATATTAATTGTGAAAGGGATAAGATCAGCTATATAAGGGTTTGCCTTAGGTAAGAGGAATACATAGGCTTCTAAGACGTGTGAAGGCAAGAAAGGTTATAATAGAGTAATTTTAAAGTAAACAATAAAGAAATTAGATGATTCTAACCTTAGCAAGTAAAACAAATATGAGAATTATTTACTAAAAGGGGGGGACAGGAAACAAAAAAGGAACCCAGAAAAGGAGTTTAGAAATATGAAAACAATAAGAAAAGAACAATCTATGAGCAACAGTTTAAAGTCCTGTTAAAATTAGATAGCGTGATTTTTAGAAAAACCTCACTGACAGATTTTTTTTCTACAAAGCTCTAATACCTAGGAGAAAACAAAGTAGTCATTTTTCTTAATAATACCAAGATGCTGCTAGAATTGTGGATTGGCAAAGTAACAAAAAGTTGGGAATACAGAGTATACTGGAAATAATGAGAAATTCAACTGCAAAGGTTTTATTTAAGAAAGATGATAAAGTATTTTTTAAATGCCTGTGAAGGAGTTTTGGATTTAACCCAGTGAGGTAACTACAGAAGAATTTTAAGCAGACAAGACATGGTCACTACACTATTTTAGCCACAATGTTTTAAGAAATCCATGAGCTAGCTAGGTACAAATTCAAAATGCTTTTTTTCTAATTCATTTTTAAATCAAATTGGAATATTATGCTAGGGTTTAATGTCATGCAAACAGACAGCATTAAATCACTAGCTTCACTTTTTTTTTTAAAAAAGATTTTATTTATTTATTTTTAGAGAGGGAAGGGGGAGAGAGAGAGAGAGAGAGAAACATCAATGTGTGGTTGCTGGGGGTTCTGGCCTGCAACCCAGGAATGTACCCTGGCTGGGAATCGAACCTGGGACACTTTGGTTCCCAGCCCGCGCTCAATCCACTGAGCTACGCCAGCCAGGACGCTTCACTTTTCAATAATATAAAACTCTTGTAATGGCTATGAAAGTGCACTCATTAACGTTACCACTTGTCTACATCAAACCTGGCATAAACTGAAAAAAAATTACAATAAGAATGTGTGGTTTTAGTTTACTTAAATCCCCAAACAAAATGTTACAAAGACATCTTGTCAATGCAAAGACAAAACAAAGGAAGCTGAAAAAAAAAATTACCTTTTCTCTATCCTGAAAAACACAACAACAACAAACAGTGAGATATTTGTGAAAAAGCCTGCTAAGAAAGGGTGAGACTTAAATAAACCTTAAATTTGCCTAAGCAAATAGGAAAATAGGAAGTTAGTTCGAAGTACCATATAAATTTGCTTATTCCACCACACATAAAGCAGCCATGTACACAATGATAAAAACCTGTGGCTTTAAGACCATCAATATGCTCCTTAGCTTCGGACAGAGAAAGAAAACTGAATTGCAGACGCTTACTCCAGAATCACTGTTATTTCTTTTAATACTTTTAAGGAGACTCTGGGGCACCAATGACCCTTTCTTCCAGCATATAACTAGATCCAACACTGGATAATTCCTTTTTTTGTTTTTTTTGGGCTACGCCCCTCCCCCCCAAAGTTCCTATTTTGTGAATCCCCTTGGTTAAACTACAAAGCTTCATCAAAATAATGTGGGGGTTTTTTTGAGGCAAAATTCATACAAATAAAAACAAACACTGACATTCTCCACAGATAAAGCACAAGGAATGCCTAGTACGTATCTGGCTTTGGTAAGTCTGGAAAAGAAAAGTTCCACAGGTGTCAGTGACATGGATTTCTATTTTGTCATATACCTTGGTATTAAAAATCTCCTTAAACCTAAAAAAAAAAAGTGTCCTACCTATTTATATGAATACATCATGAAATAACTTTACATATGGGCCTTTTAACCACTTAAATTCTATGCAGAGACTAAAGCAGAACCTAAAG